ATTTTTTCGAAGCTCGTTTCGAGACACATTGAACGATCTAAATGAATATTGAAAATAGTTAAACATTACATTTAAAAATGCGTATAACTCGTCTTTTTTCTTAAAAAAAAAATCAATTATTTTATGAATATTTTTTTTTTGCGACAACTTTTTTAATATAATTTACATCATTTTCTAAAAAAAAATAAATTATGTGTATCAGTATGACGTCAATTTTTTTTCTTGGACGTAGGATAAATATTTACAACATTAGCAGCCTGTTTGGGAGTATTTTTTGACCGTTATTTCACTATTCCAGTCGTCATATTTGATTTCTTCTTTCACAGGTGGACCCCACTTTTCTCCTAATGATTAAAAAATTAATTCTCAAAATCACTCTCAAATAGGCTCTAGAAAATATGTTTTCATAATAAAAGATGACATAAAAAGAAGAAAATAACTATAATTAGGGATTTGGAAGGAAAACTGCAAATTTTAACCTTGAAAACGATGCCACGACATGCGTGCAAAAAAAGAGCTTTTCGAATTGGGGTTATGAGTGCAATTTTGATAACCGTAGCCAAAATTATGGTCAAATTACCAAAAATACGTACTATACAAAAAAAAAAAAAGAAGAAGAAGAGGGCCTCCACGCAGCGCGGAGAGTTGGTGAAACACTACGCGCAGCGCAGAGAGAAATCCAGCACTATTTTTTTTGAACCTTTTCACACTCACAAAAGCTGACAAGCTGTACTGTAGCTATTTAATACAAACAGGACAGCAAATAAAGGTGCCAGCACTTTTTGACTTCAGATTCGTTTCCTAATTAAATATTTAATTTTATTCCCTTCATTAAAAAAAGAGAATCACACTTTAATTTCTTCTCACGTATCACTATTTCTTATGTAACAGCAAAACATAGAAGCCAGAATTTTTGACTTTAAAATTGACAGCAAATTCGATCGTATTTACTTTGTTCAGAGTGCTAATTAATGCAAATTGACAGCAAACAAAGTAGCCAACACTTTTTGACTTCAAATTCTTTCTTGTTTTGTTTTTTGTTAAAAAAAATAATAATGAAAGATAGACTCCGCGCAGCACGGAGAGGAGCTTCGTGGTGCGTGGAGTAGCAATTTTTTCTCTGTTTTTATTTTCGGTACAAACCTTTTTCTCTTTCTCTCACTTCATTCATTCACACATTCTCTGTTTTTTAAGTTTTTTTTGATCGACTCCTCGTTCCACAACAAAATCAAACCCTAAAAGGGAGGAAGAAGAAAGGTAAAATCCAACAAGTAAGATGAGACCGAGGCTCGAAGCAAGGTGATAATATCTCATACTTTGACTACTATCATTCAAATCTTGGATTTATGGATTGAATTTCACTTTCTTAGATGCTTTCGGTTTGATTTTTGAAGAGGATGAAGGCATTGAAGTGGAAAGGACGAAGAGCTCTGAGAAATCAACGTCCTTTTGCCCTAAAGTTCCAATGACTAATTTCGTCCTCCTCAACTGTGTTATTACGATCAATATAAGACGAGTTTTGATTTTGATATTTTTTCCCCTTTATAAAAATTGTTTAAATCTCAAAATTTGTGGACGGTGTCTTCAATACAATTCACTTGTTCGAGATTTGGGTTACTCGTTTTTTGGAAGCACCGTTTTTCCTTATTACTTAAAACAGATGACTCTTTTTGTTTGACTTGTCACCTTCATGTGATCTAGAGAGGTGTTTGTAGTCCATCACTCCTTTCCGTTCCGGCTCAACATCTATTTAACATTTCATTGCTTGTAAATGAATTGAATTTTTGGAGTTTGTACTTAGTTAATTTTAATTTATCATTAATATTAATTATATCATTTCATTTCATTGCCTTTATATAAAAGAGTAAATATTGGCTCTACTGTTCATTTTTCTGCCCTCCGATTCACACTGAAACTGGTTCTTTAATGTTCATTATCTGGTTATTCAATAGGATATAGATATTTTACATAAAGAGCATGTTGCTTTCTTTTTCTTCATTCATTCTCTCTTGCTTTTTCACAAGTTTCTTTCTCGACAAACCGAGCCAAAGCAAACCCTAAGAAGGAGAGCAAAGGTAAGATTCAAACTAATTACTGGAATCGACCTTCAATTTTTTCCAATCCTGTAAATTTCTTTAATTTCTTGATCACTTCTGCAGATCCTGTGAAAATTTTTCCCTTTTTATGAAAGTTTAATTAAAATTTCAAACAAAGGCACGAGAGAAAATCGAACTATTTTCAGTTCAAGTAAAGATCTTGGAACAATAATACACGACAATAGCAAAAAGGTCTTATGAGGATTCATAGGTATTCTAGGGAAAATTTCAGGGGTTATCTCTAGATTTTAGAGAGGACGAACGAATTTTTTTTGGTCTTTCTTATTTACTAGAAGATAATTGACGGTAGTTTCTATTGCAGAGATAGAATCTTGATATGGTGGATATCAAGTGTTCTGAGGTAATCGATTCTGGCTCTGTAATTATATTTAGCTAAAAGGGTGTGTAATTAAGGGAAAAATCTTGGTGGATTATGTAAATACGGAAAGGAGAGAGATTCTCTCAATTTCTGTTGCTTGAAATTCTTCAAATAATATTGCCAGAATCTGGATAGTTTTCATTTTATTTGCATCAGAGGCCTGTTGAAAGAATTTTGTATGTTTGCTTTAGAATTTGAATTTTTCAGTCCTTGGTTTGAAAGGGTGGTCACAACATTATAGAAGAAGAGACCAATGCATTTAAAGTTGGGTACACGAAAAGGTTGGAGAAATTCTAGACAAGATAAGATATATAGGGTTTTGATACCTTCAATGAAGTAAGTGGAGTGAAAATAGGTACAACGATTTTACGTTCTTTGACAGGTGATAATCCAGAATTGCAAAAGCAAACAGGACAGCATTACAGAAGAAAAGCCAGTGCATTGGAAGTTGGGTATACGAAAAGGTTGGAGAAATTCTAGACAAGACATTTGGGATTTTGATACCTTCATTGAAGTGAGGGGAGTGAAAATGGCTAAAAAGATTTTACATTCTTTGATAGGTGATAATCCAAAATTCCAAAAGCAAACATGATATATGGCAATCATCTTTCAACTGTTCGATCATCGGCCTATTCTTGCTGGGAGGTACATCGTTGGCCACAGCACAGAGAGGCTGCCTCCTCGTACATATTTCTCATACTAATTGCTTACTATTGCTTATGATCAATAATCTTGTAGATGAATGTGCTATTTTAATGTTTTTCTTGCAGATGCTATAGACTGTTCACTGATAGAACTAAGTTTGTTTTAGTTCTCCAATTGAATATTAATTTTAAATAAATATATGATTCTCTTCTTGTTCAATATATTTCGTGCCACCTTTTAAGTTAATAATATACAAGAGAAGCCCTACGAGCATGATACAAAGTGTTTTGCCCTATGAGCATGATGCAATTCGACCCATTTCTTAGCAAAAATAATATGCCCTGTATATTGATTTTTGTTTCTTTTCATGACCTATATTTATTATTTCATATAAGTTTGCATATATAATGTCCATGGCCTCCTGATGATATTGCTCGTTTAATTTTTTGAAGCCTTAATTCCTTGCTTTTAATGGCCTAATAAGAACTCATATCTCAGGTTCAAATGTTCATTTGCAGGAAATACCCACTTCCATAATGTACATTGGAAACAGAATCTAATACTACAGAACGAAGATCTGCACCAGTGGTAAGAAATGTTTATTTCGATTTTTTCTCTCGTGGAAACATAAGTACTATGAATCCACTTAAAGCCCCTCTTGATATTGTAATCTTTTTTTCTATCTCTATTTATATGTGTGTGCATTTATTCAAAATTTTCTTCTAATTGTTAGTTGAAAGTATTTAATTTTGGATTTCATATGGATTTTGTTGTCTTCAATGAATTTGGCTTTCTTGTTTCTTCTTGCTTTTTGTGCTCTAATTGATGATGATACAAAATGCAAACAAAGAAATTAAGAATATGATCATTTTCAGATACTTTATTGTTCTTTAAAAAAAAGGGGGATTGATTGATTATCTTGATGCTGATGTCAAAATCAATTTTGATCTGATGATCTCTAGCTTGAAATTGAGTTCCAAAAATTAAACTTTAGTGCATTGCTTCATTTTTATTGCTTCTCTTTAAGTTTACTGAAAGTTTTGAAAAGATCTTTGTTTTCCTTTTCTTTTTTTTTGTTGGAAAAAGATTTGTTTAGAAATCAGAGGTTTTATTGCTGAGATTTGAGAAAGAAAATAACAATGACAACTTAGATTCGGGATTTCAATTCTTATTGTATCAGCTTGATGAAATTGAAAAATGCTAGCAAATATGAAATTGAACACCCTCTTTGTTCCTAACTTAATCTCTCTTGTGTCCTTGCATCTTTGCAATCCTTAGACATTTATATTCCATTGTACTCTCATTCCATTGCAAAAATCAGGTAAAGCGTGGAGGAGCTGGCAAAGGTAATTGGGGAGCTCAGATTGATAAATTGGCTGAGTGAATTTCTCCTTGGCGCCTTGGGCAGTAAATCTTTAATCAATAGAATGGCATATATTTTTTCTCATATATCTAATATTGTGATCCTTCTACCATGGTTTCTAGAGTTACCGACGAAGTCGTCAATTGTTGTGGGATCAATCTGAATGCTGAAGTATGAATCATCTTTTTATCTATATATTTTGAATTTTACATGATTTGGAATTTAAAACCCAAACTAGATATACAAGTGAAAATGTTTTGAAACTAAGATTAATTATTTAGAATAACATAAAAGATGTTGTTCTCTCATCAACAAAAGTCTCCGCCTTATGAGTGAACTAAGCAAGCTTATATAAGCCCACCTAAACGTCGTATATAGTAATTGTAAACTGGGAAGTGCTGGTATTTTATACTGCAGTTATTAATGATTCTCTTTCATGAGTTGGAACTTTAGCTTTGGTAATCCTGCTAAAGCCTTTTCTATTGTGTTCCCGGGAACTGAAATCAATTACATCTTCAGGTTGTAGTTTCCTTGTCATTGGTGAATCAAATGCAACTTGTGGAAAGAGGTTGTCTTCCATTGGACTTCAAATATATGATAGAAGTATATTGATCCTAACATTGACCTTGGCACATGTTACCTTTCATAAATGAGTTATGAAAGGTCGGGTCATGCAAATGGCCAGGCTTTACTAGATAAATAATAGAAAAATATAAGGATTTCATGGTTGAAAAGGGAATTTTTTATTTTAAATCACATCAAATCTTCGATGCATATTTCATTTATTACAAGTGATTATATTGATAGAAGAAAATTTGGATGGTTAATCTGATTTTTAATCACATCAAATTATTTGTATGTTTCAGATGGAAAGAATGCCCATGTGACAAGGCAACTTACTGAATGTATTATTTGGCATCGAATTTTTATTATCTATATTTTCCCATGATTTAGATTGAATTTTGGTTCTATCAACTTGTTGAATTCTTTTAGTAATGTTATTTACATTAATAGAATATGTGAATGGCTAAACCTCAATATCATCCACCACAAGAAACAATAGTAACAACACTCAATCCATGGATGATGAGAATCCCATAAGACTTGTGACTGACATAGTCCATGAAACTCAAAGAGAGGTGGAAGAAAATTCTCAAAAGACCAAATGAATCGATAAAAATGGGAGTTGGGGGATTACTAACCGAAGCAAAGAAAGAAATGAAGTCAGAGGAATATGAGCACAAGTTGGGGACTGGTTCCGTATATAAGATTAGTTCTTTGTTCAATTTACTTATTGCCATTTAGAATCATGCATAGTGATTTGACATTTATTGGATTTTCGAGTATCAAAATCTGCTGGTAGGATATCATGTTCCATGCGAAGGGGAGAAAGAAGGTGCTTTTATTACCTTGACTTGATAATTTTTGTCATCTAGGTTTAGAATTTCTGTTGCAGTTCTTCAATGTTATTAGGTTCCATTTGCCATTTAATAAATATTAGAGTTTTTTCATAATTATTTCCTACTTTCATGACGTTTGATAATAAAGTTGAGTATCTATAATCTTAACTTTGGAGAAGCGAGTATATGAAAAAATGCTATATTATGCATTAAAAGTTTAAGAAGAAATAAATATATTATCTAGGAACATTAATATTACCCTCGAAATAACAATGCCCGTGCATTGCACGGGCAATAAACTGAAGATTGTGAAAAAAAATGTACAGCACTCTATACACTTAACATTTTTGTACATTAAAAAATGAAAAGGAGATCATATAAATAGAAATACTATTTATTTTTATTATTGTTAGTGTGTCTATGATATTTATAAAGACGACATACATAATTTATAGTCTTTACTTCAAAACAAAAGAAAGTTTTGCATGAAATTTTTTATGGTAATACTTTGTGTCAAGTTATGACGTGGTATGAAAAACAAAGAGATGTACATGAAACTATATACTAGAAAAGATTATTTCGAAAAACATAAAGCAAACTTTTGGACCTATCCATCTTTTTTCTCAAAAGGGCCCCTCCATGACTATATAATTTATTCATGCACCAATAGGCATGCAAATATGGAACCAAAGTTTACTCGAATAGAATATACCTCGCACTACATATGGATGTGTTTGTCTTAATATATTCAGTCAAACCAAATAAAAAAAATTAAGCTTTTTGGCAGAAAAAAAGTAATTATATCCTTATAAGCAATCCCTTTCAAGATTTCTCCAACGAGAAACTTTTCAATTCCATTGTATATTAGATGCACTCTTTAAAGTAGGACTAGTAAAGATATGGTGTTCAAGTAATTATAAGTTTATAAGTCACTTTATAATTTAATAATTCTTCTTTTATAAGTTGCTTACATTCTCAATTTATTGACTAATCGACTAGAGAAGGCATCTTACACTCTCAATTAATTGACTAATGAGCTAGAAAAGACATGAATGTTAAGTGATTTTTAAGTTTATCGTCGGCACATTTCACTCTCACGTCACGAACTGCTGACATTGTTGTTGAAACTTTGAACTAAATATATTTGATTACAATCTTAGTCTCAATCACAAATCATGCGGGTCAAGAATCGTAATCAAAATATTCGTTTCTTATCAATGAAATAAAACTACTGTGTCGCAGCATATAATTTTGGTGCACAAAGCATTGAGTGGGGAAGGAGATCAAAAGCTGAGCTATTCTTGGATGACAACAGGGGGTTGTCACAAGGGCTTTAGCCTCAAAAGCTCCCTGATTTTGGATTCCATTTTCTGTAGCTTTCTATTTCAAGAAGCAGAGTGATTTTCTAGAAATCTTTAATTACAATTATGCAACATTTTTACTTAAATCAGTGTATTAATGAACTATATTTCACAAAAGTAAATCAATTTTTGCAAAGATAATTTATTAATGAACTTTACAAAATAGCTAGATCTTATTTTTATTATAAATCTCGAAATTTGTATGCTTTTTGTCAATTGTCATCACTCCAACTGCGTCTATTCACACTTTTTCCCCCTTTTTTATTGGGTTTTGTTTATTGAGTAGGTCGGCTTGGGTGACGTGTGTATTTCTATTTACTGCCGGCAATCTTGTTGGCATCTTTTGCTCCAGCTCTCTCTCCCTTCTCCATCATATACTGTGTGTATATACTGCATAAGCTCAATTAAAAGTCCATCTTCTAAGAAGAAAAGAAAAGGTAAGATGAAATGATAAAAAAATAGTTTGGTGTGTATTTATAGAACTTTTCGTATGTTTCTTGATTTTTTCCAGAAACCCACAAATTTCCGCTCTTCTATCCATTGCTTTATTCATTTATGGTAAAAGAAAAAAAAAAAAAAAAAAAAAAAAAAAAAATTTTAATGTTTTCTTCTTATGAATTCTGATATGGGTTTCACTTATTTTCATTAATTAGCTTGTTTGCTTCCCTGTATAATTAGATTTTAAGATTTTTTGTTTGAATGTGTTTTACAGGATTCATGGAATTACTTTTTAATCCCTGTTTAATTTTGTTGGTATGGTCAAAATATTAGGGTGGTAGTTAGGCTTGTCTTCATTTTTCCTCGTAATAAGGATTTCAGTTCTATAGATCAGATTTTATTGCTACTGGTAATATCCATTAATATCTTTGTCATTATTTAACTTCGTATTTCTCTGAGGTATTGATTCTAAATTTGAGCTTTTATATTTTTTTTGGTTTAAGTGCTTGTTTGTGCCCATTATTTGTCAGAAATGTATCGTGGAACAGTGATTGACGTTGAAATGTGCGATTAAAAAAGAGGGAAAAGTTTTTTTATTTACGTGTAATATTATTTTAATAAAAAATGTGTGGTGGAAAATGAGTACCGTAGAAAAAAATGTGGTAGAATGAGGCACAAACAAAGCCTAAATTGCTATTTGGAGTCCTTTTATATTAATTCTGTCATTTCACTGATTTGTACTAAATAACGAGCTTATGAATCCAGTTAGTTAGGAAGTTTGTGAAAAATTCCTGGGGAATGAAAAATTTCGTTAACATCCATTTAGTTTATCTGCAATATGTTATTGATTCCCACAATACTTTGCTTTTATTAATGTTGATATTGTAACAGGGTGTCCCTGGATTTGAAGATTGCATTCATCCGGTTCTATCGATGTTCTTGAACGGGTTTGGTGCAAACTAAGTTCAAGAAAGATGGTGAATTCTTATAAAACGCATAGCAATGGACATGTGAAAGATCCCAGTCTAATTATCCGGCATCCCTCGTACCAATCCTCGAGCAAGTTTTCGTTGCCTTGGTTTGATACAAGAGTGTTCTATGTTAGAATCAGCAATTTCAGGGTTGATGATTCGACCCCAGAATTTCTCACTCTTGATCATATCCCTTTGATCCCTGACACTCTCCTTGAAGTAAATGGTGTAAGATGTTCAATTGAGTTGAAAAGAGTTTCTTGCCTTCTCCGAAGGGATAGGGTAGATAAGAAATCCGAAGAGGCTACATTTGTTAGCACTGACAGTATACGATTAAATGGTAGTGCAAGGTTTGAAGTTTTTAATAAAAAGGAGCTCGTGCTCTCTGGGATTTTGGAAATGTCTCGTGCCAATGGTTCTATGAAGGAATCAAACAATTTGGCCCGGAAGTGGAGTATGAATTGTGAATCAGTAATGACTGGTGGCAGTGGATTTCTCAAGGGGAAACATATTAAGGGCGCTGAATCATCGTTGCCTACAGTTGAAGTTTATGTTGCAGGTTGTTTCTCGGGAACACCAATCATATTAACCAAGACGTTGCAGCTTAATCATGCAAAGAAAAATAAAAAGGGAATGTTAGATATGATTCCAGAATGCGATGCCTCCGAGTCCCATGAAGATGTTGCATCTGGACATGATCTACAGGTAATTTTGTTCGATAATGGCATATTCTGTATGGAGCACTTGATAGCACCTGATAGTATTACAAAACAAAATAAAGCTAAAATCTTGTTAATTATACTATCGAGTCATGTCTAGTACTGCATATCAAATGTGCACCAAACATTTCTGTTCTTGACATATGTGACATCTAGAGACTTGCATTCTCATTCTACTTACTCCATATCTTCGTGCTAATGAAAACACAGCTAGTCGAACATACCCCGAAAAACTAAGAATCCCATACCTCGTGCTTAGCTCAAGGTTCATAGCATTCTTGTATGTATTACAGCAATAATTTGAAATGCAGAAAAGCAATAAAAGGTATACCTGGCATGGGAAATATTCGTATTCGGAATTATTGCTAATTACGTGCTCGTTAATAAGTTGTCTTCAAAAGGTTACCTATACTATTGCTGCCATTGATTCTAATATTTATGCTCAAAGCACAAGCATGAATATGAGCACGAGATCCCATCATTTTATCTTATCATTCAGTTATTGCTTCCTCTTGCGAAACATGTCTATCTGCAATGAAAAAGGCCAGTTTCTTTAGGAATTGAATCGTAGACTATAAGCAGTCTTATCCTCAACATGTCATAAGGGTATGGGCAGGCAGGCACACATATTGAAATAGCATTCTCTTGTGTGTGTGTGTGTGTTTCCTCAAGTATTATCCATATCCCGATCAAGACTGACGTGCCCGGGTCTCATCATCACAAAAACTAGGTAGGTAGTCTTCAATTGTGGGGCCCTTTAAATCACTGTTTGGCATCCCTTAGCAACTTTTTGGAGGTCAATTATCTATCAAGGATCTGTATGACCATAACTTCCAGTTTTTCTTGAGAATTTTATACTATTCTGTACATGTTATCCCCATCTGTCTCATAAATACTAATTAGTAAATTCGTTTGATAAGATTGCTTAACGCTTATTCATTTTCGTCTATGTTGTTTTCGAGAAACATAGATTTTTGTTTCTTACTCCAAAATTATGTCAAACTACACTTTGGTTTCTATTTCATGGAGCTTTCTATCATTGCTAAAAGTACTTGTTAGAAAATCTATGCTTGGACATTGGCATGGCACATGGGCTTGTTTTATTTAGACGCTATATGGCATATGTTTATAACGAACACAACGCCAAGAAATGCTACTAAACGGTATATTAGGTAGGAGCATTGGAATAGTCACTTCCATATCCGAGTGTCTAGTACTTTGTAGTCCTTATTGAGCGAACTACTAATGTACAGCTAGTCGCTGTAAGTCATAATATTCGTCTTTTTTTCATTGATATGTAGTACAATACTTCCAGATAGTGGACTACATTAAAGAAGAAAAAGAAACTAAAATACTGTTTATTGCCATCTAATCTTATTCACTAGTACTTATCCGAGTCATTTTGAATATTTCATTTTACCTTTTCAGGTTGCAGAGTACGGAAGTTATAAACCAGAAAGCGATGAAGACTATGATGACATGTATTGGAGACGGACGGAATATGTTGAAGGTGAAGACGGGGAACTATCTTGGTTTAATGCCGGTGTTCGAGTGGGTGTTGGAATAGGCCTTGGCATTTGCTTGGGGGTCGGAATTGGAGTTGGTTTGTTGGTCCGTACTTATCGAACAACAACCCGAAAGTTTAAAAGGCGGCTTGCATAGTTGCTCATATTATCATAATGCCTCGTCTCACTTTACCGGCTAACACAATCATTAGTATGTCCATTTTGGATGCAAATTTTCTTAGTGTTAATTTTGGAAAAATGGGAAAGTCAAAAGATAGAAGTCTCTACTCGATCGATGTACTGGACCGTCTTGGACTCTCGGGTTGATTTTCTTTATTTTCGAAAGAATTCTCGTGCTGTTAATTGTTTTGAAGAGAATGTTGGTATATATATCGGGGCATAAATGAAGAAAGTTTGATTTATCGCACTGTAGATGTGTTTCTTTCTTTGAGCATAACGATTTTTGTGCTTCATTACATTGTTTGCAGTGATTTGTACTAGTTGTGAGCAGGCGAAAAGTTACAAGGTGAAGCATCGAAAGTTGAATCGATGGTAAAAAATAAATAATACTGGTAAAATATTTACGAACGCATGTTAAATTTCATTAATATGCCCTTGTTTGAGCTCCTTTTTTTTTTTGGGAAGAATGAATTTTTGAATATTGTATTGATGGAAAATGTGTGATTAAAAAATTAAAAAAAAAATTGAATTTACGTTTAATATTATTTTATTAAAGAATATATGATTGAAATGATGTCAAAATACTTTCGAAAAATGAATTTTTCCAAAAAAAAATGGGAATCAAACAAGAACTATCAGGCCTGCCATTCCCGAGGAATAGAGTAAGGGCCAGTACTAGTAACAAAAATCAGACAAGGTGTGTACTCATAACAAAGTATTAAAAAAATTTCTTTTTGCTGGTTGAAAAAGCCAAATTGAACCCCTGCTTGCTTCTACCTTTCTCGGATTTAATTTCTAAAAACAGATAAAAGTAGAGTTACCAATGGGTCAAAGAATATTTAATTTGAGGAGAATGTTAACATCGACATGTATAAGATAACCATTGGAATTGGCCATGTTGACTGGAAGAATTCAGGTTTGCGTTATGAGTAATACTAAAAAAACTTGATTTTAATCACCACCAAACACAATTTGAACATTCATAATTGAAAATTTTAATGTAATCCATGACTAACTCAAATTTAAGCACACTCAATTGCACAAATTTTCTATAGAAACAGAATATTAAAATCTATATTCCACCTTTTTGCATGATTAATTGGACTAATTTTCTTGACTATTGATTTTCCTAACCCTCATTTTCCACCTTTTTCAAGAATTGGGAAGGATGATTTTTGGTCTTTGAAATTTATTATTATTTTTTTTTTCCAATTGAAACAAATTCTATCCGTTATTGCAACAAATTATATCCCTTTAATAGACAATTTTCATAAAAAAATAAAACTAAACGAACACTAAAAAATCCAAAAATTACAATATTTTTCTAAATAAAAAAATTATACCAATCATACACATTTAATTAACAATTCTTAGTAAAACATGTTTTAGACAATTCAACATCCAACAAAATTTATTTTCGCTCCACCCTCATTCCTTTTTTGCACATCAAACAAAACCTTTTATTCTTCTAAAATCCATCAAAATCCCAATTCCATACAACCCTCGGTAATTTTATTTTTTTTCCAAAAGAAAGCTTATTTTGAACCACCAAATAAACACATTTTAGGTGTAAACTGCAAAGAGATTCAGGTTATACAATTGGTATATCGAAATATGCCAAGACAACCATCATCATGAGATATCTAATCAAAACAGACTAGCAATTCCAAAATGAAAACAAAACAAGTAAACTAAACACAGTTTGACCCCCTTTAAAACCCTTCAATTTAATTTAATTTTTTCTCTTCTATTTTCAACCACACAATCTTCAATAAAATATTTTTGCACTCAAATCGAAAACATTTTAACCACACAATCTTCAAATAAACACTGTTCCCCCATTATAAATCCAAATAATGGGGGCCAAACGGGGGCTAACTCAGCGCACAATTTTCTTGCTCGACTCAAATTCATGAAAAATAGATAAATATAGTGTGTTCTGAACTGCATAATGACACTTCCCTCTGCAAAGACAAAAACTTGTAATTAATTTACTTTACCGCCCGCCAGGATTCCAACGGTAAGGAATGGCAATTGATGCAGGAACCAGAGCTAAATTGGAACAAACAGTATTCATTGGAAGGGGACGTATTTTTATTCTTCACCTCAAAACAAATAGCAGAAAGCAGTTTTAACTTCAGGATAAACAAGAGGAAAGAGTAAGCAGCACCCACAGCAGTAGGAATTACATGCATGTAAAACCCGACAGAAGCAGAAACTCTGATCATCAAGGGAGCAAGTCCTAGCAGCAGCAACATCAATATCAGCGAGCGATTGTACCAGGGAAAGGCAACAATCTGAAATGCCAAGCCTAATACTTTCAGCATATCCAAGAAACAGTAGCAACAGCAGCAGAAGAGGCAGCAATTTATATGGAAAGAGGCAGCAGCAATCAATGACAACTAGTGACTGTATATGGCACAATAACAGCTAGCAGCAGCAGCAGCAGCAGCAATTAATGCACTAATAGCAGCAGCAACATTTATCAAAGAGTGATTGAAAATGGCCATCAAGCATAGTCACTTTCAGGAGACTCATTATTACCAGCAACCAGTAGCAATGGTAACCATCATGTAGCCTTGGTCAACCCGATGACACCCTTGCTCACCAAGTAACAATTATCTAGAAGACTAGAACATCTAAACCCTCAACTAATTCAAACAAGATGGCCTTTGAGAATTTTACAACTTTCATCACATTTACAGGAAGAGTATCGAGGCCAGATATGTCTATATAACAGGATAAATGTTAAATAAACTCTGCTTCAAAAGCATAATTATGCAATAGACGGCAAAATGAGATAACTGTTAAATAAATTTAACAAATGTTAAAAATATTCTGTATCAAATGTTGAATTCAATTGCCAAGCAGAATTGATAATTTTAAACATCACATTTCTTTTAGAATTTGAAAGAATCAAGGCAGTAAATAAAACGAAATTATATTTGCTTGTGACAAATCTTGCTTTGTATTGACACACAGTCATAATTTTACAGTTGCTATTAGAAGCTAGCTTGAGGGGTAAAAAATTATATTACTTAGTGTTGCCTTGTTAAGACTAAAATCTCACAATATATGAATAGAAACAACATAATAAGGACTTCGATACTCCTCTTGCCTCAATTATCTTTCCAGATGAAGAGCAAAGATTCAATATGGTGCTAGACCCAAAGAAATCATACCAACATTTTGAATAGTTTAAAGCTCAAGATTGGCACCCACAAACAGAAACATCTAACAAGATATTAGACATTACGAGCAATATCCAACATTATTTAAACATTATTCCCGTTTCATATTTTAATTAAATCAAAATAAACGATTAATTTTAACTTTATATTTAATTCATGAGATCAGTAACTTTTCAACCACACATTTCAGAACTTCTATTAATATCTATTAAAAGTCTGATTTTAATCCCCACCGAAGAGGGGCTAAACACTAATCAAACTTATATGGGCTTGGACGACGACTTAAACAAGTTGGTTGGTTGTTTGACATGGAAACCCAAGTCCGGATTCATGCTCGTAGATTAATTATTAATGATGTTAATCATAAGTACAAACTGTTACTACATCAGTAGGAATGATTAAACACCAACTTCTATTTGAAAATCATTATTTAAAAACTGATTTTTCTACACGTTCATTCTCTACTATACTGTGCACGTAAACCAAAACTTCTCCTTTATAGCTACACATTTTCCTCAAAAGTCACGGTTCAATATCTCAAATAACTGCCATCAAACAGGTACGAAATTGCATGCAATTACTTTCTTATTACACTCTGTAGTCAATATGCTAGAAGCTAGGTATGATACGTTAATGTTATAAATAACGTGTGCTGATGTATGAACATTACTGATTAATCAAGATAGCTCATAAATTACAAATTGTCAAGTGACATGTAGCACATGGTCGAACTAAATATGTCTGTAGAACTTAATATAAGAGAGAAATTGAAAGTATTCTATTATGCACCTCTTAGGAAAATTATGCTTCAGTAGACCCAATCCCTTGGCAAAGCTTGCAGTCTTGACTTTCACGGGAATATTTTATGTTCCATTTTCATCAAAACAAGAATCTATAATCGCATCTAGATTTTGTGGACTAAACTGAACGCGTTTGATTAAAAGGATTAGGGGAATAGAGGCAAGAAGTGTGTGGTTGTCCAGTTGGCACACTAAACCTTCCCTCGACTGCCATACCAGAATAGAAATTTTTCAACATAAGACAGGTCGAGGACAAAAAAATAAAGGCAGCAAAGGAAAAGGAGGCCGCACACAGAAGGGAGAGTCGGGCAAAACCCCGTACCATCTCCCCTCTAAACAAAAAATGATATTTTTATTGAGATCTTTCGACCTGCCATGAGAGCGCACCCATCATGGCAATGGTCCGTAAGACAAACACCACATTCAGCTATTCATCTCTGTAATCTCTCGGTAACTTCTCATCCTATGCTCATATTCGTCATAGGTTTCAACATGTCAAAAGGAACGTCGCTCATACAGCATAACAAACAAACAACCATACCAATCATGATACCACAAGAATCTTATGCAGACAAAATCAGTAGAAATGCATTTCCTCGTTCTTTAATTCTTCGGCGAAAAATCATTTCCAGCCCGAAAATATCAGTCAATTGCATCAGGAAAATGAACCTACATAGCAAGAACAAAGTGTAAAAAAATGATCATACAGGGCACTAGGCAGGAATCTACCTCAATACTGTAGAGAAATCATAAACAATGTTTGGAAAAACACGCTGTAAAGAACTTAACCTCAACTTTAAAAAAAAAGAAAAACGACAAATCAATTTCAAATAATGAATGTCTTAGATTATCTCTAAGATGTACTGTCAAGGAAAAGTAAGCAAGAAGCAAGTTTTTAAGCTTCTTTCTCAGAAATAAGCTATCCCAAACATGCCCTGATTGAGAAATCAAACAATTGTTGTAAGATGTGAAAATTACCTTCATCAATCCGTTAGACCTTCACCAAATCCAATCTAAAATCATACATCTTAGGCGATGTATGAAAGTTCTCTGTTGATCGAAACCCTCAACGAACATATTCAAATCCATAATCAAATTATAGACCGTGAAGGATCGAAACCCTCAACGAACATATTCAAATCCATAATCAAATTATAGATCGTTTCACGATCTACAGTATTCCCAAAACAGATGAATAGAAATAACATAGATCAGGTGTGAGAATGAAGTTGAGCCACAGGAAATGAAACAGAGACCATTTAACACAAATGGAACAATAATTGGGTTTATTTATGGAGGGGGACTAGTAAAGCAACGGCTGAGATTGATTGGCGGGAAGATATTTTGACGGTTGGATTGGTTTGCCGTGGAGAGAAAATAGGTTTAGGGAAATAATCGGACGGGCTATATCGGTGGGAAGGTTCTCGATTGCTATCTAAGATCATGCCACGTGTTTCAACATGATTCTCACCCTAAATGGATATTTTTTTCTATAGGTAATTATCACAAAAGTTCCCCACCTTTCAATGTTATTATATAAAACGTCCACATTTTTCATTTTTTAGTATTTTCACCCTTATTTCAACGTTTTATTGCAGAAAACGTCCTTTTTACCATTTGCATTGTAAAATAACCAAAATACCCTCACATTTAAATAAAATAAAAGTGCAAATAAGTCCAAATAATTATTAAAAGGTCTAATATCATAACCATATCCGTAATTTCTCTACGTTTCAAATTGATGAAAATGACATTTTTCGCAATAAAATATAAAAATATGGATGAAAACGCAAAAAAATCGAAACGTAAGGACATTTTTTCGCAAGAAGTGTTAAACATAGAGATTTTTTTACTATTAGGCCTTATTAAAATATTAAAAATATAAAAAAAAAATCTCTTTCTTTCTTCTCTTCTTCTCCAAATGGGTCAGCCACTTTAGAAGCCAAAAAACTCCAGCAAACCACCACCCAAACTGTTGGACCACCATACCACCGAAAAGCCCTCACTTCCCTCAACACATACCACCCAACATCCAACGTTGAAACATTCATGTCAGTAGATTTGTTCGGAATTGCAAACCAAAATACCCAACTTTAATGCAAATACTGGCGGTATCATCTGTTCTGGAGAGACCCATGTCATTTCCAACATACCAATCGACTATAATCACCAAAGCGTCTCTTTTCAAGGTCTTAAAATATCAACAAATGATTCAGCGATTTAGGCGATGGTTGGTGGGAGTTTATTTACCTCTAACTTGGCAATCCCATTTGGAGAAGAAGAGAAGAGAGAGAGGATTTTTTTTGTTATTCTTAATATTTTAATAAGGCATAATATCACAAAACGTTCTTATGTTTTACACTTCTTGCTAAAAACGTCCCTACGTTTCATTTTTTTTATTTTTTTTTTACATTTTCATTCCTATTTTCACGTTTCATTGCGAAAAATATTATTTTTACCAATTTGAAACGTATGAACGTTTTATGTTATTAGGTCTTTTAATAATTATTTAGACTCATTTGCAATTTTTAATATTGTAATTTATTCTTTTTTTCTTTTTTTTTTAGGTTTTATTTAAATGATAGGGTATTTTGATCATTTTACATTAAAAATAGTGAAAAAAACGTTTTCTGCAATGAACATTGAAATAGGGGCAAAAATACCAAAAAAGAAAGGTGTGTATGTTTTACACAATAACATTGAAAGATAAGACATTTTGTGCTACTTACCCTTTTTTCTTATTTAACTTGGAGTCCTTTAATATTTGTTTAATTCTATTCACTCCCATGTCAGTTTTTCTGGAAACAATTGCATAATTAATCCTCAATCATTATTCTAGTAGCAAATTAGTCCTTGAAAATATTTTTATATTGGTTGAACTTTAAGCTCCTGTTTGGTTTAAATAAAAAATCAGATTTTCAGTAAATTTTTATAAAATTTAATAGAATATGTGATTACAAAATTGTGGATCTCATTAATGTACTATTAATATTATTTTATTAATTTTTATATAACATTTTAGTTGAATCAAATAGGGATAACCTTAAATTTTCATTAAAATTACAAAATAAGTAAACGACAAAGATCGTGTAAATATTCATTACATTGTTGTCGAGCCTTTGCATGTTCACTTTTTAAAGCTAATTTATACTTATCTTGAGAGATACTCGTAAGTATGAAGTAAATCATATTTTCATCATGTTTATGTAACTATTAAACGAAGTTTGAAAAGCTTCTAAAATCACAATTTGGTCGAGGATTAAATAAATGCAATTATAATCGTAAATTTTTATAAGTCATGTGGCATTTAAATGTTCAATTTTATGACAATAATTTATGTTTCTTGGGTTGATTTCCATAAATTTAAGTTAAGGCATATTCGTTTTCGCAAGGTCCACGTGACTATTGAATAAAAGATTTGAAGAATTTCCATAAGTGCAGACTGATTTTGGAACTAAAATGGAAGTAAGAGTATTTACTTACTCCTTTTAAAAGTTGATCGTGAACTTATTGTTGGACCAATAGTTTAGGGGCTTGGCATGAAAATTGCTTATTTGCACGTGTTTCTCGCGTTAAATGATATTTTTCTTATTTCACATTTTTTTAGTCTTTTTGTTTATGTTTGTTGAATTCAATCAAATTTTCTAGAACAAATTGCACCCTTAGTCCTCAACTATAGTTTCAGTAGCAAGTTAATCATTAACATCTATAATCTTCAACTATTCCAAATAAAGGCATGCAAATCTCAATTACATCATCATGTGATCTTCACATATTCAATTTTTATGGAGCTAATTCACATTTTCAACTTGGGACGGTGCCTATAAATTTAAGGTAAGACAAATATACATAAGATTCACGTAACTATTTAATGAAGACTTCGATGATTTTAATAATTGCATATTGATTTAGCGAGAATATTTTATTAGCATAATAAAAGGCTGAAAATTAGCTTACTCGTTTTTAAAAGGTTGGAGCTAACTTCTTCCTAGAGTAATAGATAAGCGATTATGAAAGATTTTTTCTCGTTTTCACGTGCTTCAACACATTTATCACAATGACAAAATTTGTGTAAATCTCTTTCATACTATCGCATGGTATTTGTATGTCCAATTTTATAAAGATAATTTGCCTTTTCAATATGGACAAGCATCCATAAATTTAAGAAGAGACAAAATTTTAGGGACTAGCTTATTATTGAAGTAATAGTTCAGGAATTACGCTAAGTACACATTTCGTAGATTACATCTTAACCCCCATTTGGAGTCCATTAAATTAAATTTTATTTTTCTCTCCTATTTTCAATTACACAACCTTTTTCAACTACTTATTCTCTAAACAAATATTATTCCACCCATTTTAATTTGAAAAAAATGGGGGCTAAATGAGGGTTTTGTTTACATTGTGTGAAAATTTAAAAAGTGTTGGATGAGAAAGTGTGTGTGGTGTGTGTGTGTGTGTGTGTTTTTTTTTTAAACTGTTCAATCATGTGCCATCACATGATATAGCGTCAACCATGATGTTAAAAGAATGTACATACGGCATGATTGATAGTTCTGGTAATGGGATGGAAATTTTCCAATTTGTAGTTTTTCAGCATGTTTCTCATGCTAAATGATATTTTTCTTATTGCACTTACAGTCCTTTAGTTTTAGTTTAATATGAATCATTGCAAGTCAATTTTTGTTCATATGTACTTTGAGGTTCCATCTGATTAAATTATGGGGTTTATGTTTTACTCTTTTTAAATAAAATTGGTCTATTGTTGTTTCAAGTGTTGGAAATAAGGAAAAGGGAGGGTGAAGAAACAAAAGAGAGAACACAAAGATCGCAGTAACAAAATGAAGAAATCAACGACAATTTTAAAGGCTTGAACGTGAGATCGCTGTCCTCAAACGTTATTTGCCCCCTTTCCGGTGTTTATGAGATACTTAAGGGTATTCCGACAAATGGTTTGGAAGATTGTAACAAGCCTCGTAAAGAATCTCCAAAACATAGAGTAAAATTATCCAAAACTTGAAGAACAAGAAGGTAGAATGAATATAAATGTAAATCATGATTTGATTATTTTTGAAACAACGTATGGATTGCAAGATGCTTCTCTAACATCTTTCCCTTGAAATGGCTCACCCATGTATAGCCCTTGACCTGAAATACAAAATGGTGTTAAAAAATCAAGTGAAAAACCACCAATTTCAAATTTGCAATGGCCAAAAATATGCCAGAAACGATCGAATTATTGTACCGTGTGACCGCATGGTACAAATCCATGTGGTCGCATGGTTCACATGCATCGAGACCACTTGGTCTCGGTATATAGCCATGCGGTCGCATGACTCAATTTTTTTTATTGTTGGTTTTGAACAACCAATATACAACAATTCTCCATTTGTTCAAAATTAACAAGGTTTTATATTCGAAATATACAATACTCATGCATAAGATAGAGATATATTTCGATTTAAATCAAATCATAGTGTAATTCAAACAAAGTAAAGTCGAAATTAAAAGTAGCTGAAACTTTAAACCAATAAATTCATGTGACAATACTGGTAAGAACACACACAAGAGTGCCACGTGTTCTCAAATTCCTCATAACTCGCTTAGCGCTATTATGCCCTTAAGCTTATCATTTTTAACAAACTTTTAAGAGAGAAACTCCAACTCTCTATTAAGGTTGCACCACCTTGAAGATTGTTTAGGTGAAGTTCTTCCAATACCTTTTGTTACTTTTAGAGGTATTTGTATTTTAGCACTGAACTTCATTAAGAGCTTAAAGCACATCCCTCACTTCAGTAACAATCAGCATTATTTTAACTAGGATAGGGTCATTGTGGATTTGAATAATGCTACAACTATCAACATATCGAATGACTTACCTTTTTAAGTAATGATAGGTAAGGTTACCGTCATTGGTGGACCTCCTTTATTTTAGGAGTTTCAACCCCATCATACTTAAAGTAGATGCTACTAATCTCTACTTAGAGGTTTAGTCAAAAGGTCAGTCAAATTCTCAATTGATCTTGCATAATATAAGGAAATTATTCAATCCTGGATTAATTTCCTTATGTAGTCATGTCTTAGACTCATGCGTCTAGACTTTCCATTGTATATCTCATTGTATACTTTTGCTAATGTGGCTTGACTACCACATATGATAGGTATTGAAAAAATATTCTTCGATCTAAATGGTATCTCATAAAAGAGATCTTCGATATGGCTACAAATTTTGATTCCATGGTTGAGTGTGTTATGTATGTTTGTTTCTTTGACTTCCTATAGTACTAGATATCCAACTAGTATCAGTAAATCCTTCCAATAGTACCGAAAATTTAGTAAATTGCATGC